ACAACAACAACAACAACAACACTAATAATAATAATGTTTCCTTTATTTTGATTTCTTTTCCTCCAGACCTCTCCCCTTTTCCAGATACCATTTATACCTCATATTCGTCCTCTACAGTCGACATTCCTTGTTCCTTCTTTTCTAACATTCCCTGGTCAGTCTTGAAAGAATCTGGCTTCAGGGGTGGTAGCTGGAGCTTCACTCCTCTCAGCGACCCGAAGTCAACACAATCTCTCCTCAGCCTCAGCGTTGATCCGGTAGTCAGATGGAACATCACACAGGGCGCAAACAATACCATCAAGGTCAAGGGAAGAGAGTTGAAAGACCATGATCTATCGATTCGTAATCTGCCTGTATCAGAGAACATCAGAGGGGTTTACACATGTGATCTAAAATTTAACACCAAGACCCTCAGCAGTGAAGTCACGGTGGAGGTTCTGAAGGGTAAGTGAACTGTAACTAATGAACAAACTACTAACTTAGCTACTTTCAGTCAGTAGTGTGAGAAAAATTATATAATAATGTAGTTTTCACAATAACGAGCTACGTTTTCCAACGAGGAATTTACAAAACGAAACATCGATGTTTGTTACATTGATACTCATGCTGTTCCGTGGCCTCCTACACAAGTGGTATTCACTGAACGGATCTCTCACATGTAATGTCACGTGCTTTAGTACTGTTAAGTTTTATTAGTTTTCCCCACAACATCTACATTGCTTTCTCTTGTTGTTACAGTCAATGAAAACATATTCGAGTGGGGGACTTTTTAGTTTTTTTTCTTTATAATCAAATATTTTATTATATGCTAGGACAATATTTTTTAACTACTAAGTGCATTAAAGTCTTGTACTTGTAATCTGTTTAAATTGAATGACAAATCGAGTCCTCCTTTGAAATTTGATCTCCACCAAGTGCACTAGAACAAGTAAAAAAGAAAAGATAAAATACCACTATCCTATATAAAATAAAGATTTTATTAGGTTATTAATAAAACCGTTGTCACCTCAGAGTATTATTAAATGTTACTCAAAGTAAAACTTTAAGTGTTCCTTTAAATTATGAGTAACTTGT